AACACTACTTCAATTTCAGATACTAAGAAGTTATCAGAGGTATTTTTAAAAAGAAAAAAAAAGAATAACATTGAGTGAAAAATCTTGTTACAGTACTTCAATGATACACTATTTACAGGACCATCTCATTACAGGAAAGCTTCATGACATCTGGTTTTTTACCACTATCTCATTACATCAAACTTCTTAAGTTATACCACTATCTCATTACATCAAACTTCTTAAGTTATTACAGCTAAGCCACAACAATTTTGGACTCTGGTTCCCTCTCTACAAAACTGGAATGCTGGTCCATGTACCATGTGAGTCACGCGGAGATTGCCATGGGCAGCTGCTTTACCCAATGCACCACACAGCACAAAGCCCAAACAGAGGTCAGGCATCAGGGTGGCACTGGCAACACATTGCTTTGACTTTAAACAATGATTTGGCCATGTGCCTTACACACTAGGTACATCCCAAAACCAAAGCGTTGCTCTTTCAATTAAAGACAAAGTTAGCTAACATGTTAAATATAAAACTGGGTCCTTTAAAAAGTTAGCATCTGTGTCAATTCTTTCTTTGTCCCTAATGATCTTTCAATAACAGAGACTCTTAACTCTTTTCATATGTTTAAATTAATTGAAATTCTGTGCACAGGTTATATATAAAGAAATTAGGTTGCAATTAAGCATAGTTATGAAAGATTCTTAAATCTAATTGTTGTGACTATTATAGACCACAGACAAGGTCAAGTCTACAACTCAGAAAACTCTGGCTTTAAAGAAAAAATACCACATTAATTATATGCATAAAACTCACTTTTGCAATGATATAGCCCTAATCACACTAGGCATGTTCATAATTTTTAAAAAAATCTGTTTCCAAACTGATAAATTAAAAACATATCCCTCTCTGCAAATCATTAAATTTAATTTAGTAAATACAATAAAACCATGTTAAGTAAAATTAAAGATACTAACTTTTACATATATTTAAAGATACTCTGCAAAACATTGTCCTCTTCAAATCCAAAATGTCAAAGTCATTTCAGCAATTACTGCAGAGTGCTTACACAAACTGCAATAATGTCAAATATTTAATTTCTGTGTATCAGCAACAAGGTTCAGGTCACTCTATTTAAGGTTTTTAGTCAAAATTGCTTCCCTTTCATCTGTATGCATTACAAGGAAAATTGTCAGTGTCATCTAAAAAGTAAATTCATAAAGGAAGACAATGCATCTCTCTCCTTATCTGGCTACAGGTATAACTGGAGAACACTGAAAGAAATAAAAATTATCCTCACTGAGCTAGTGAACTGCAAAAATATCTTTGCAGCCACATGTGGACACAGGCCAGGAGCTGCTTGGTCCTTGTCCCTGGATCTAAGACAGGGAGTTCCCACCATAAAGCCATTCTCACAAAACACATTCCCACTCCTCTCTCGCCTGAGCAGAGACTCCTTTCTAAGGAGACTGCTCTGCTGGCTCTCCACTTGTTCAGGCTCTGGTGTCTCACAGGGATCTGAATCAGTTCTTCAGTTCAGATAAGGAAAGTGCTTTTGCAGCAAAATCCTCCCACCACCCTAGTTACTGCTACTTTCCTCTGCTGCTTGAAGCAGTCCCACAGTGCACAAACCTGGCTCCCTTCAGATGAAACTGAAAGCCACACAATGTACTCCAGGAGCACTACCACTGCCAAAGGGGCACAGAAACAGACAGAAGCCAGGCCAAATTAGCACCCACTTCACCTTACAAATGCACTAAGTGTAGATAGGTATCGAGTCCCCATCAGCAATTACTTCATTCTCCAAATCTGCTCTTGCTGGGCTGCTTTACTTGTTCAGGCACACCCAGTCTCTGTGCTTCAGGGTCTCCTTTCCCCTGGGACCTAAGGTTCCTCAAGCTTCTCAGACCTGCTTCTCCCTGGGTCTTGTGTCTTCTATTGCCCGAAGTTCTCATCTGCAGCCTGTCATCTCTGCTTGTTCTACCTTTCATATACAACAGCTTACTCTTCCACAGTATCATCTGGTCTCAACACTCTGAAACTGCTCCTCCTAAAGACTACTCAAAGCCCAAGTATGATCAGTCTCAAAAAAACTTAATTCTGCCATTTCTTGACTTTGAGTAAAACATTAATACTTTAATGGGTGCCTCATTTAAGCAGACAGAAAAATAGGTCTTCGAGGAGTCAGATGTGAGGCTACATGGCTTTAGTGCTCAACAGCCCTCAGCCCTCTATTACTGACATGGATACAGCACTAAGAATAACAATAAAGCAAACATCTTTTCACTGCATTTCACAGCCATTCATGATGCCCTAACATACCCTGTCTTCCCTAGCCTCTCTCTAGCAGAGTCTCAATTCAGAGAGCAATCCCCAGCTCTATTTTTAGTCCTCCCCTCTCATTTCTACATTGAGTTCACCTAACTCACCTTTGTAATGGCCCATCTCATCAGACAGCTCCTCAAAACCATTTTTCATCCCAATACCTTCAAGTCATCCTCATATTCCTGACTGGGCTGTGAATCACAAAAAGAAGTTGGATTTTTTTTTCCCTTTCCTTGTATCACAAACCATACTGAGTGCTGAAGGGGACAATTTTAAGAGGTCCAGGGCTATAGTCACATGACCAAATAATTCAGCACAACAGAAACAGATCCGTCAAGTGATGCAGCCCAAGCCCCTAAGTTCCCAGCAGGAAGGGTCATAACGTTTATTTCTAGATACATTCAGTCTGGGGTCAGAAATTTGTGCTGCAGGATACACTTGGCTCGGGGCTGTCCAAAGGACCAGTAACTGGGGCTGGAGTTCACTCAGTGTCTGCCTGGAGAAGAGGTCCCACACTCGCCCTTCTCCAGTAGAACGTGGCTCGTACCTACCAAAACCTGCCTGTGAACTGAGCCAATGCCTAGCAAGGGTTGATGATCAAAGAATTCACTTCCAAACTGTAACAGAATGATCACTTGCGGAAGCAAGACAGCTTTACCCAATCCCACGATGCTTCTTTACACAGACAGAGAAAATTTAGCTGCCAAAGTAAGCGTTTACCGAGCGTATTCTCAGAATATAGATTAAAGTTGGATACTTTTTCTTAGCAAAATTTAACAAATGCACTTAGCAACTTTGATTTTCTCGCTCCAGAACAAGGTCAGAGTAAAAGCTGTCATTACATATGAAATGTATGACCATTGAATTAAATGCTTACAAATTCTTAGCATTGTGAAACACGACCATGCTTTTCCTTTTGCTTTCAGAAGCAAACAAAAGAAACACTTTAACCCACCAACAACCAGAACAAGTCAGACAAAGAAAATTAAGGATGGTATTAGATGCAATTAGAAAAATTTCCACTAAAACCTACACAGTTATGTATAGCACAAAGAAAAAGATAAATTCAAAGTTATTCATGATAAGGACAAATGCATGCCATGAAATGTCTTTAATTGGAAAAGAAAAAAATTATTAATAAAATTGACCTCAAAATGTCAACTTGGAGGCCTTTTCTTCAATTAATTGCTAGTAAAACAGGGTAAGAAAAAAAAAACCTTTATTTAACATTTCAGAATTTCAAATATTAAGTAAGACATTGAATTTCAGTTTCCATTTCTGGATCCCAGTAATTAATATATGCATATCCAGTGCTCACAGAGTTGGCAGCAGTTGTAATAAGAATGAGCAATATTACCTGAAGGAACTGATGTCATGTAAAATAAAATTATTTGGAGCATCCTAACCATTCAAATACATTTGAAAGAAATTTATATTAAATAATCAAAAAGGGAGATCAGATCTCCAAATTGAGTAACTAACAACAAGGTGGAAAGGAAAATAATTTCAAAATTTAAATAGTTCCTGTCATGTAAAATATTATTTGTTATAAATACAGGTATATACTCCAAAATAGGAAGTAGGCCTTAAGCTTCACATGGTTTAGCTCATTTTCATTTACAATACCCATAATGCTTCCTGAAATACAATTTATGCAAGAATAATAGAAGAATAATAAACTTTTTCCCTCATTATCTTGCCTTCCCTGACATTTAATGTCAATCTGCAATAACAAAGCTAATAATGATCTTTGTCTTCACACACTGCTATTGAAGCAAAGCATTTCTTTGTAAATTAAAGGGTAATTTCATTCCCACTATTTCAGTATAATCTTTCTGGGCTAGGATCGCAGAAACTCATGGCATAAATCACCCTAAAATCCAGATCACCCCCTCTCTGTGAGAGAAGTTATATTTTTTTGAAAATAATCATGTGTGCAACCACAACCTAAAGTAGAGCAGCATGAAGCATGGAAGATTTCATCCAAAGTTCATCACATGATATGAATGCCAGATATTTCTAGAGATTTCACATTCAAAGCTGAACATACAGCAACCTCCCCAGATTTGCAAATCACATGGTGAAACAATTTAAAGAGACATCTCAAGAATTCACAGAAATTCAAATATAACAGAAAATCATACTTTATACTGGCTTATAGTTAAGAACATATTCTTTAATCATATGGCTTCCAGGTCTGCTGAGTAATGAGGTGTATGCTGAGCTCTATGCAAGTATTATGTTGATTTTACTGGGACTACTTGCATCTGTAATACAAGCTGAGCCACACTGAATGATTCTGGCATCTAGGAAATTTCCCACAAAGTATCACATCTGCAGCAGCTTCCAGACAACCTTAGAGTGCACAGCTCTATTAGTGCCTCTTCCAGCTGCCACAACAGGCAGCTCATTCTGATGCACAGGTAACAGCAGCAGCAGCAACAAGGTCCAAGGTGAAGAGGGAATGACTGAGTCCAACTTCCTCTGCACTGCCAGCCACCCCGAGAAACAGAGGCACTGCTGAGGGCGGCACATTAATACCAACAAGGCCTGAATCTGACCAAATGTCAGATTAGCTTGCTCCACAGCAGAAGATAAATCAAGAACATTAATCTGTGTAACCATGTGACACCATTGCACACGGTATAGGAGACATTAGAAAGCACTTTCCATGCAAAGGCAGAACTTACCCCTCTTCTGTACCCAGCCTTCCTTCACAATGGTAACATCGCTCATGATGACTCCACTCTGAACCCCAAACTCAAAAGAGTATTTCTTTGAGTTATCAGCTTGTCTGCTTGGCTTCTCTTCTGCAGCTCTTCACAATTTCTACTGATGAGTCAGACTGGAAGGAAATATTAGAGAAAGAATTTGAGTCTTTTCTGTTTTTCTCACTTGACAGCCAACAAAAAAGTCTTTGTTGATGTATTTCACTGACTGAGCTCATATTAAAAATCTGCCTTTATTTTTAATTAACTGTATAACACAATCATGTTTCTAGTCTTACAGCACATTTTCCATGAACACTACCATACTAAAAAGCAGCAGAATGTGTTAAAATTTAAGTCATATGGTACTTTTATAAAAGGCACAAAGCAGAATTCTCTTGTACTAATGCACAGGATGCTGTTAAATGAAAGGCTGCCGGTCCTGCTTCAAAAACCCAACTCTGAACACACAGGAGCTTTCCCTGCTCCCACAGCTTTCAGAACCCATGCAATGGACAAGTGCTTCCTCTGTTATGGCTATCTACAATCACATTAAGTGTGTAAGAAAATGGAATTAAGGTTATATCCTTGCCACTTCCACAATAATTTTATTATAGCCAATACAAACCCTGAAGATACAAGAGTTTTTCAAAAACAGCATCATCTCCACGTACACAAACAGAAAGACAACTTCTTAAACAAATTAACCAAAAACACCCTCAAATGTTCAGTTTATAAAAAGAAGGAGCGCACATTCTTTCAAAGCTTTAAGCCAGGCAGTGACAAGGGTGCTCTTTTCCCTACAAACCTCAGCCTGCAGGGCAGAGAAGGGGAAGTTAGTCCTGGAACAGGACATGCCACTCTCAGAAGCCACAACCATCTCTTTTGACCACCTCACTACCAAAGTACCTAAAAGCTGTGAATAGGAGATAAACAGGACTACACTTAAGTAGAAAGAGAAGCCAGAGGCCAGGAGATGTTTCCTTTTGCCAGCAAACTGCCTTTCCCCTCCAGCCTTCAAAATAAATAGAAGCATTCAAATAATGCTCATCCAGAAAAGTGTGGGAAGCCAAGAAATGGGATTTCTCTGATGGTGGAGGATCACCCTTGCCCAGCCCTGCACAGGAGCACACATGTACACACTGGTGGCACAGAACAGCAACCCCCACACAAAGTTAGTGCTGTCAATGCAGCCCATACATATCCATTTAGTAGACTGACCAACAAATGTAAACAGGAAAGAAACAAATCTGACTGGGCTAGAAGCAATCTGTGCAACAAATGAATGAAGAAAGCACTGGGAAATCAGGTTTTTTTATTACAATCAAGTACAAACCAAAACCAGAACCATTATAGACATACAGATTATTTCTTATTTATCATTTGAAATACGTGTATTTGCATAAGACAGCAACTAGATGGAAGGCTACTTCTGAAAGAATAGTGTAACATGCAAAATAAAACTTGGCATGAGTACTTTTTCAGGTGTATGCAACAAAAATGCAGCACTACTCGATTTTACAGAAACACACTAGTGTGCTCATTTAAGTCTTACTTTCGCTAAATTATTTTTTTAAAAAGTCAGTATTTTGTTCTGCATAAAAGTAAAAATCACAATGTTAAACTCATTAAAACTGCAAAGTTGAAGTGATATGGACTATTGTGCCTCTGAGACATCCCCATGGCACTGGCAGACATGGCAGTGAGACCTGCAGGTGACACACAGCCTTTGGCATTGGCATCACACCCTGTCGTGGGCAGCAGGACACCGCACACTTGGGTCTAGAGAAACACACCCTGTTTAAGCTTTCATAAAAGCTAAAAGAAAATGTTATGAGCATTTTGGAAGGACATGAGATTGCTTTTGTGATGCTAATTGATCTAACTTTAGCTGCTCAGGTTTCATATTATGCACAAGCCAGTACAGCAGAAATAACCAAAGCAGGCATTTCCACATCCTGCACCTTACTAATGTGAGAGCTAATTTCTGGGTCAGACATTTTCAGAACTTTTGTTTGCATGCCTTAAACGAGATAAGCAAGTCTATCAGCTGTGCATGAAAAGAGATCTGACAGATTAAGACACGTGCCTGAACGCAGGCTGCTGTTCCGCCGTTCTGGATCACTGCAGCGCAGCATCAGCTCTTATTACAAACGCATAAATCTTTACAAAGCCCAGAGGTGGGTGTCAAACAACTGTGACCTAAGAGCAGCTGTTCTGAGAAGAAAGTGTAAGCACGTCAATTTCCAAATACCCAACTTAAGTTCAGTTTTCTACAAGACTTTCATTGCATTCCTTGAAAGTAATCACAGTTGTTTGGGTTTTTTCCCAGCTACAAAGACACAAGAAGCAATGTAACACTCAGTATTTACCTTGGGATGGCATATTCTGCAATATATTTTACCCTTTTGGCAAATTTCATGAACTTTCCAATTTTGGTGTGCACTTCTGAACATTGCGGTGATTTATTCTTATTGGTAAAGACACAGCTATAAGAAATTAACTTCTGTACTAAGTAGCAATAATCTTGACTGCCCACAGACTGATCAATCAGTCCATGATTTATGAATGAATTCATGCCTGAAGCTTCCTATTTACCCACTGATGACAAATAAGTTAGTGTTACATAATCAAAATCTGATCTATGACCAACTTTCATGTCAGACAGTGCCTGAAACAAACCCAATGTGTCTGTAGGCTTGCATCCCACCCATTACACCTACTGTTTTACTAAATTCTGAACAAAATCCCCAAAATACAAAAATCACATAAATATGGTGATAAAATTAACTGCACTATCCCCAGTTTAGCTTCACAGTATTACCAGAAACAACCTTAAAATTACCAACAGTTCCATGGTTGTATTGATTGCTCCATTACTGGGTAATTAAAAGTCAAGCTGAATTACACAGAACGCTGAAGGAGATAAATCAAAGCATTAAAAAGCTAATGAAAATAAAGGTTATATGTGCACACTACACTTTCAAGAAGCCATTTGTAAGCATCTGTAATATTATCCCTTATTAAATGCCTTTGAGCCTTTCTAAAAGCTGTACTCCTTTACTCTAGAAGTCACTCAACAATGCTCCAGAAGAGCAGAATTTTGAGAACTACTTCTTATCACGACCAAAACTGCCCTTATAGTTAAAAACAGTCTCACAAAAGCCTTTCCTAAAGATGTAACAAAGAATTGCATATAGAGGTAAAGGAGTTTAGAGGTAAAGGAATTTTCACATGAAAACAGCATTTCATCCAAAGTTCAACTACATCAAGAAAAGCTACAGAAATGTTTATTCTGCACATCTGGCATAGAATTTAAATATTTGTTAGCAATCAACTCTGCTCTCCCAATGCACTTGAAGTTTCAGCAGCCAGTATGCAGTAATTTTTACAGTTTACCTTACTGCTATGTAGGATGAACCTACAGAAACAGGAGAAAAATATGTTAGAACTGAATCTGACAATGCTTTGCATCACAGCTGTTTCCTACAGGGAAGACCTTGACTTGTTCTTATACATTTTCCAGCAACTAGAGAACACCTCAGATTTACTTTTTTCCCCCCACTTTTTTGTGTCTTATCAAACTTGGGAGATATTTTCCCAACAATATACTGTGTGTATTCTGCAGATAGGATCAGATAGTCATGTGTATGCACAACACATACAAGAACCCACTGTCAGCATACTTTACGATGCAGGTGTAAAAATTTACTCCATTACAATCAATGATGTGAAAAATTTAGGGACACAGTAGTGTAGTGGTAGACTTGGCAGTATTAGGTTAGCAATTGGAAAGATCTTTTCCAGCCTAAATGATTCCATGACTCTATGCAAACATCTGCTGGGGGGTTTTATCTCATTAAAAATGCACAACTTTTCCTTTTTTTCTTCAGGAAATTATTAAGCCACTTTTGTAGTGTGAGATAAAACAATTATCTAGTATTATACTTTTAAGCTCCTCCTAGCTGTAAAGGTTTCAAAGGCAACTTTCTGACCAAAGATTAACCAGACACTACTACAACCAACAGAATTCTAGATCCCTATGCCAAGGTTCACAGTTTCCCTGAGCCATGGTAAAAACTACCCAATACCTTTTCAGCTTTCATCTTGAACTTTAAGAATATCAGCAATACAGAGAAGAACCATCTTACTTCATGATGCTACCATATGGGAACTATGAAATCAACAATTAAAATGAGCAATGGACCATTCAGTAGAAAGCCAGCTTTTCCCCAGCTCCTGTTTTTAAATTAAAGGAGGCTCTCATGCCCATCACAGCAGTCAGCTACCTACAGAGACATGGTGAATAGTGAGAAGGAAAGAAATCCCTTCCAAGGAGAGGAACTAAAAGCTGTGTTTCAGGTCTACACTTAACAACCACTATGTGCAAGTGGATTAGCATCGAGATTCGTAAGAACAGACAAGACTCCTTTGAAATCTGGGCATCTTCCCATTCTCCCCATGACAAGAGACAGCTGAGTAAAGAAGACAGCACCCATAAATTCAGTGTAAATTGTATGATTCAGTTCTCTGTTGTAAGAACTTTCATAAACAAAGGCTTCTACTTTCAACAATTTTGGAGCTGAGAAAAAGCAGAAACTCTCACATTTACCAACTAAAGTTACCAGAGAGATACCAGCAGCATCAAGTTCAGTGCTTCCAGAAATGATCCCCACAACTTCTTCTACCATTATCAACTCAGTGAATCGTCCAACCTTGTTCTCTCAATAAATGAGTACTACCATTTTCCCTTTTTACAAGTTTAGTAAAATGTTTGGGGAGAAAAGAACAGTAAGTGAACCTTTCTGATTCCCCTTATTTGACTCACTGAGATTCTTTGGTGCCCCATGTAATCAGAGCCAAATCTCATCATCTCTATCTCCTTATTTTTCAGAAAAGTAATTGAATCATTTTGTGCATGCACACAATACACACATCCCCAAAAAAAGCAGTTCTCAGTGGCTTCCATCACACACGTTTCTTTCCTTGCTTTGGGGGCTCTTCTTTTCTTTGTAGCAGATGAAGCTATTAGGAGTTCTTCTCAAACTTGAGTTTGACTCCTCCCAAACAGCCGAGCAGGCTGTAACTGTTTCCAAAGCAGGTTGCACTCCCAGAGCAAGGAATTCAAATGTCAAGG